TCGTTCCTCTGCAGCAGCTAATATGTATGCCTTGTTCATAAAGGAAGTACTTTGTTGCCAGTTTACACTTGTTTTGTATTAACAGTTTTTAAGGCATGGGGAGGAGGGTTAGGAACATTGAGTTTAGAATAGCTGTAAGGCATAACGTTTTCTTTCATTGAGACTGACAGCAGGTAAGCTATATGTATGCTTGTGCTGTAAGGAGTTTTGTCTTGACTTATGTAATCTCATAAAAAGACAAAATTCAGTGTCTAGCACAGTTCTAGTTAAGTTGATTCTGAAAATAATTTTGTGGTGTGGTCAGAGACTAGTCATAGTCTGGGGCTCTACACAACAGGTGTGGGTAGAGTTTCAAAAACACTGTTTACATCTCAGTCATCTTCATAGGTCACAATACCTAAAATAAAGCTCCTGAAAATCTGTGATTTTCAGGTGAAGACAAAAGCTAGGAACACAAATGTCCACTGTATAGTGTGCTAGTGGCATGGTCGTCTTGTCCTTTTCAAGTTTCAACACAACCGTTGATCAGAAGCTGAAATATCACTGTTCGTATTTTCATGTACTTTGCGAGGCTTTCCTGTCTAGTTTCACATGGTAAAGTGTAGCCTAAGATTCTGAGTATCACTGAAAAACCAGTGATGTATTCCTTATGCTAGTGGTAGTTATCATTTACATTAAGGTTCCTCAAGTGGAAGGTTCACATTAAGGTTTCCATTGGACTGTGTCTTTTCAATGGGTGGAAAAAAAAAAGATACAGATGTGGCCACATCTTTTGTGCTCTCTGGTGTTTCGATGTCTGGCTCTAAGGAGATTTTAGCATTGTGGTGTGTGCAGCATCGTTAAGCAAAGGTGCTTGGTGAAGGGCATGGAGGTTATGAGTTCAGAGCAGGCAGGAGAGAAATGTGAGTTAAAGGCTGTGGTAGTGTCAGTCAGGCACTATGGGCTTGGATAGAATAACTTCTATAAATAAATCCCAAGCAATTTCTGTCATTCGAGTAGCCAAAAAATACCTGTTTCGACCATTTTTCTTATAGCTGATTGATAAATGGGGACAGCAAAGAGTTTTGTACGCAAGCTTATTTACTGCATGGCTAGGGATCACTGGCTGGGGGAATGGGGAAAGACGGTGAACCAGTCCATTCACATCAAACCTTGTCTTCTCTTTTAATCCTGGTGATTCTTGTCATGCTTGGAGTATGTATAATTCTTTTTTAGTTGGCTTTATTTGTTTTCTTCCTGCCTCTCAGCTTTTATATTGGTTCCGTTGGGTTTGGGGTTTTGGGGCTTTTTTGTGTTATTTGTTTTTTGTTTGGTTTTGAGGGAAGAATGTGTTTCCTTTTAGATTTAGTGAGTTCTTGTATGTCAGCTGAGAGGGGTGGCAGGGTAGGAGTGCTTCATTTCCCCTGTGGGTACACCAAATTGCTGCACTGTTGGCTGTTGCTGATGACATTAGCTTGCAATACAGAGTTAAATATGACTTTCTAATGGGAGCCTTCAAATAGTATGGATTTTACAATATGATTTAAATTAAAACATGAGATACCTAACTGTTACAAAAAGTTTGTAACTTCATTTGGTATTTAGCCAAGTGATGGACAGTCTTGAGCTGATGGACTGAACTAAATTAGAAATTGTACTAGTTTATTTGAAATCTCTTCCACTGAACATCACTCTTCTTCTTACAGTCTTCTGTAATTGCTAAAACTTGTCAGATCCTGTACATAAAGCAGTAGCAGTTTTGTTTTCTCTACCACATCTTCTGTACTGCTTTTTTTTTTTTTTATTGTACATACACGTGCATCCTTTTAGCTTTTTAGGAAAAGAACTGGTGGAGTGATTTGGGTCTGTGCTTTTGTACTGCTGAATTACAGAATTAAAAGATGTGTAACTGATGTTGTAGCTCGGAGGAAGATAGCCAGAAACCACATTTTACAACAGTGTACTTGATTTTCACCTTTGAGTGACATGTAGGTACCTGGTCTGACAAGTTCAAACCCAGTAAAAATCTTCAGGGTTTTTTCCTGGATTTCATTCGCCCTTAAGAATTGCCTGTAATTGAGGAGACCAGTAGTTGTGCTGAAGGAGAATTGAGTTCTACTGCAGGATGAGAATTGGAGGCCAGGATTAGTTTATTGGCAGAGCTGTTAAGGAGAAAAAAAACTACGCTTGCTCTCCCACCCATTTCGGTGATGTTGGTTCTTGCTTTTACAGGCAATCAGATTCAATTACATGAATTCTTCAAAGGATGGAGAACCATCTGCCAAAGCATTCTGAAAAGATTAATTTATTTGTAGCAGTAGTTCTACTTGCAAATACTGAGCAAAAGCATGGATTTTTTTCTGGCAGTCAAAATACAAGACAATTTTTGAGCGAGAAATTGATTTCAGTGTCTTCATTTAAAAGGGACAATAAAATACAGATAAAGTAGGGAGCTAAAATCTTCCCAAACACACTTTTGCCCAAATCCAAATGGTTATGTGCAATAATGTAAAGCTTTTAGAAACTGGAATTTTCTTTTCTTCCAGAAAGAATGCAGAATAGTTCCAGAATAATGCGGAATAAACAATTGATTCAGTATGGTATAATCAGAGAATAACTACCTACCTAAGGAGCTGCTACCAGGTTATTAATTTAATGTGGGTGCCTGTGTGCAAAAGCATATGGGTATATTGATGGGTATGAAAGACTAAAAAGACGAAGTTAGCAGCTCTAGCTGCCTACTCCTAGTGAGAGGAAGTAGATTGGGTTCTATGGGACCAAACCTGGTGAATTTGGGTAATCTGCAAATGTTCTGCAAGTAATCTTGCAATCTGCAAATAATCTGCAAGTTCTCAATTGCTTGTGGGCTTTACCCTTTGTAGAGAATATTAAAGACAGTGTAGTTTGCAAGGTGTTTGGGTTGGAGTTCTTTTTCCCCTCTTTCTGGTGAAGCTTTTCCTTCTAAAAGGTTGTGGCACAGAGAAGACCCATCAATTCAGATGAATTAAACTTGAAGTGTACTTGACTTCTCTCTTTAATTATGGTTCTTAATTTTTCAGTTCAGCTTGTTAAATAAACTGTCAGAGCTATTATTACAGATGAAATCTGTGGCTTCATGTAGAATGTATCAAATTTATCTACCATCAGTTGCTCGTAGCTGGAGCTCAAGCTTAGTTTTAGATGTTTTGGGTTTTTTTCTTAAAAAAGAGATGAAGATAGAAAGGGCCAGAAGAAAGCACCACTGATAAGAGGGGAAACTGGGTATAGTAATTTGGAAAAGAAAACACTCGTCTAAAGCTACATAAAGCAATCCATATGTATTTAAAAATAAAGGGAAGGGGGGACACAACTAATCTCATTAGTTGGTGAGAGCTGTACAAGAAGGATAATAATCCTAAGCACATTAAGTATTTTATAGATATATTTAAGCTACAAAAATAGCAAGAGAGAAAATGACTACTAGGAGCATATTCTGGAGTCTTGTGCTGTTGACGTCAGAAGGTTGAGTCTGGACTTCAGAGTACTGTGGGATACCTGCGCTTCAGTGTAAGGCCCTTTCAGTCATGAAGAAGTATGGGAGGGCACAGCATGTGAAGGAGTCATTTTAAAATCCTAAGTTATTCTGATGTGATTTTGTTATTTTTAAAAAGCTGTAAGTAATTGCTTTACACAAAGATCTAAAAGGTGATGCCATGCCATTACTTGATTATGTTTAGTCACAATAACAGCCTCTGAATCTGGTGTCCTTTCACCATGAAGTAATGTAAACAATAAGAAGTAAACTGTGGTAAGTGTCTGAATAATAATGAAGAGAAGCTACCACTATCATTTAAAGCACTAACTCCTAGGATAATTGAAGATAGCAGAGGAAATATCTGAAAATGAGTTGAAGTTGTGGAGCTCTTGGGATTTCTCGATGGCTTTAGAATGTGTTTAAACTGTGTACAGAGATCTTAAGTGTGCTGGATGATGCTCCTAAAACATTTTTCGTGCATTTCATCACTTTAAAAAACCTCAAGCATTTAGAAGGTCAGTTTTGTATTGGGTGGTTGTAAAATAATTCGCTGTGGAGGCTAAAACCTGAAGAGGCTGTTTGTGATAATCTCCAGCTGTTTTTAGTAGTAGTGCAGGGTTACAGGTTTGCTTGTGTGTAAATGTCAATGTAAGCATATTGTAATTCCACAGATTTTATATCTTTCTCTCCCCCTACTATAGCTAATAACTGTAGATCAGTCAAGTCAGATTTATGAAATTCAAACAAAGTTTAATTTCAGTCATCTTAATAGGGAAATAATACTACTTCTTACTGTAAGAGTATGTATGCTCAGTAAGTGAGGGACATCTAACACCTAAACCATCTGAATTTTTAGTTGATGCCAAGCTGGGAACTGTTGTAGATGCTTTGAAGGACATGCCCAGAATTGAGAATGATGATAAACTTGAGAAACAGACTGCAAAAGTAGTAAACTATTTCTGGGGCCACATCAAGATAGCCATTTGTCTTCATACCTGGAGAGGTATTTGTCTTCATACCTGGTGAAACCTCAACTGGGTGTAGCATTTTGAGAAATATGTAAACAAACTGAATAGTGTTGAAATGAAAGCAGTAAGAATGACTTGGTCTTGAAGATAGAAGGAAAGAAGACAGTCTCTGGTGCCATTAGGGTTTTTCTACAGAAAATAGTAGGTTATTCTCCTTTGTATGGGCTAAGAGTTAAAGGCTGTACAGTCTTAAGAAAAGTGAAATGTTGGAGGAGACGACCTAGGGATGCTGAAACATTCCTTTCTTACTTGCTGTTCCTGACCTTGCCTTGGGGTGGAAGGCTGGATTGTACCCCTAGGGCCATGGGTTGGCCACTCAGCCACAGGTGGTCTTGTGGGAAGCCTCCCTCCATTTCCTCCATGAAGATGGATAAGAGTTACCTCACAGTATTCTAGTTTATGGGTGATTCCCGCTTCATCTGCGTGCAGCCTGTGGCTTAAACATGAAGCTGCTGTTGCCATATCTATACAAAACCAGCCTGCATCATACCTTTCTCTTCATGCCAGCAGTTTAGCACTTAGAATTGCTGTCTCAGCATTTCCTACAAGGAGAGTCTCAGTAAGGATCCAGCACTAGTGCTGACAAAGCCAGGCTGTCCAGGATTAGGTGGTCTTTCAAGGTCATGCATTGACCTTGCATTTTGAAACCCCGAGCTTCGTATTTCTAGGGCTCTTTGACTTAATTATATAGTTATGCTGTATATCTTAATGTGCAAAAGGCTTTAGACCTTTGGGAACATGTGCAGTCCACTCCAAGTATCTTTTCCTGAAGCTATGTTGTTCAGTACAGTGGTACTGTATGTTCACTGATGGGATTCCAGGGATGCTCTGGGGCATGGTTCCCATCTGAAGAGATGGGCAAAGAGAATAGAGTGAATCCTGTGCTATAAATACTATGTAACAGTAACTGGTTGGGTTTTTTTCCAGGGTGTTTGCAACTAATGACAAATGCTATCTAAATATTAATTTTTCTTCTTCCTACTTCCTGCATGTTGGTACTAAAAACTTCAGTGTGATTCAGGACTGTGGAGTGAGAGGATAAAGTCTCAAGCCAGTGGATCTATGTAATAGTCATTGGGAAGAAATGGTGGAAAATGTATTTAAAGACAAAAAACCAAAAACCCCAAAGAAAACCCCAAAACAAAACAAAAAACCCACAAAAAAACCCCACACAAAACCAAAACCCAAACCCCAAAGAACAAACCAAACAAACACAACACCCACAAAAAACCCAAAATGCCCAAAAATCACCCCAAACTCCCCCAACAAACCAAACCAAAACCCCAAAACCCAACACCAGACCAGCCAACCAACCACACACATCCAGCACAAACAGAAGCCCCCACTTTTGGAAGCTGACTTTGAATAGCAGTCACAATCAAATATTTAGCGTGGAAACTTGAAGCTTCCTTTAAGGAGTGAGCCAGCTGTGATTTCTGGCATAGTTGTGACACAATTGATAAGAAAAATTATTAAAAAATGCAATAAACAGAAATCTTCCCAGTATATTGTCTCATGTAGTGAGTGCTGTGCTGCAGATACCAGAAAATAGCTGAAGATTATTTTTTTTTCCTATGCACAAGGTTAAATGACTCTTATTGAACTGTATTTCTTTACATTTTGATGTCTTAGCATGGACATTAATAAAGCCTATATATGTAAAGAACGGTATGCTCCTTAGTTTGAGGCATAAGAGCTAAATGCTGCCCTTGCCTTGGCTGTTCCCTTCTTCCAGATGCAGATCAAATGATCCTTCATTCAGCCATTCACCAGTATAAGCTACTTACAATTTTTTTTTTTTTTCTTTTCCTGGCTGATCTATTTTTTTTCATTCCTTCTCTAGAAAATGTGCAGCTTTAGCCTATGTAGATTAAATTGTACTCTTTATGCATTACCTTTATATGAATAATGTAAAGTACACTTGTTTCTGGTGAGGCATGCTGCCACTGAACTCTGTTTCCACTGAGTTGCTAGGCTAGTACTTACTGCTTATTGTCTTAGTTGCAGAAAGTACTAGGAAGATTTGAAATGTATTGGGTTGGGCAAGGGTTATTTTTATTTTAGGCTTCTTCCAGAGCTAAAGTCTGTCAAAGGGCAGAGTATCAGCTCTGGTTGAAGGATAATGTCTCCTTCAATTCTGAATTCTCTGTCCTTCGAATTAAAAGAAAGTTTTTTGCAATGACTTGTGGGACTTTAGCTAGAGGATGCCAATTAGCTCCGATGGAGCTTATCTAGCCAAATCTCTGTGCATCAGTTTGCAGAGATTCCTTTTAAAGTTAAACTTGAAGCAGTTTGTAAATGCTTAGATATTCCAGTGATTGTTCCAACACTTCTGTATGCCTAGATTACTTCTGTTATTAGTTAATTTGCACAAACATCTGCTTCTTATACAACCTGATAAGCTGAGTTTACAGTTATCCTGATAATGCCTAAAAGGTAATGGAACTTGATGCAGAATGGCTGTCAGCAACTGGGACAGATCCTGCATTAAAATATGTCAGATATGGAAACACAATTTCAAAAAGAGAATGCAAGTGTTCTATGAAGTCTCACCTGAGGAGTAACTCTTGCAAAAATATTGGGTTTATCCTCCACAAATACTTTTGTGAAATCCTGTGCAGATACTTCATATATTTTAAGTATCAGAAAAAGTACAACTGTGTTTTCAGTGTGTTCATAAAATGCCAGTGAACTGCAGGAGGAAGCCTGGAATCCCTCTGGTATGGAAAAAAAACATCAGTCACTTTGTGAGGTCTTCACTTGTGCAGACTTACTTTCACAGCAAGTGTGGTGTTTTACTCACCTGCCACCTCCGTCATTGCATGTTCCTTATCTTTTTATTAAAAACACTGCTTTGTCTCTATACCCTGACTGAGAGAGTATCTCCCTTGACTTGTGACAGAGAACTTTCAGAAGCTGTTGAATTACAAATCTGAGGCGAGAGCCCATGTTGTTAAGGCCAGAGTCCACAGCATTTCGTATTATTACCCTTTGCACGTAGTTCGTGTGACTGCAGTGTTTGTTAATTTACTATGGGCTGGTTATGTGACCTTGCTTCATTAAACCTCTTAAAGTTGAGACGGCACAAACTGAAGAGTGACTTCATTTATTGTGAATTATAAATGAATTGCCAGTTCTTTCCTTCCCTGACAGTCCCATGAGGATATGAACCCGAAATCAACTTTTAGAGGCCAAAATCCAGATGTAGCCTAGATATATTATGGTAACTGATACTTTGTAAAGGTTAACAAAACAAAACACTCCCTAAACCCAAAGAGTGGTTATGTATGCAT